TGATGTTTAAACACAAATATTGAATACAATTAAAATTAATGGGCTAAACACGTTTTATGGGCTGTACCAAAATAATGGCTATTGAGTTGATTTCAATTAACATAAAATCAAATTCATACAAAAAATAAAATTATAAATTAAGTTTGGTTCTCGATTTGGTTCTTGGTTCTAGAATCGGAATCGAACCAAAACTATAACCAAATGATTTTTTGTTCGAAGAATCAAAACTATTAATTTTTTTTGTAGAACCGAATCGAACCGCTTGATTCGGTTCTAATTTGGTTTGGTCTAGACATTTCGTCCACCCCTATGTTTGAGTAAACAATTTATTCTATTATTTTGGTCATCTTATAAATGGTTGATTGTTTGTCTAGTTAAAGTAGATTGTTTCTGTATTTATATAATATTATAATAATTTTCTTATATCATGTGACGCTCCTCTAATAGATTAGTATCGATTTTGTTACACCGAACTTAAGAAAATAAGATAAGAGATCCAATAAATAACAATATTTAAAAAATGAACTGCGTACGTTTACTCAAGTCAAAGGATTGAATCGCGATCGAATCGATATTTAATTATATGTAGTTAAGGTTCTTTACTTGCATTTTTTCATTCCTTCTCTCACAATTAAAAACCTAACCCGTATCGTCCAATCACCAATTCCGTTTGAAACCCACAATTGAAAGAAATGAATTATTGGAAAATCTGTTTCATGTAGCATGCCAGGTAAATTATTAATGACTGGTACAAGATCTCACTTTCCCGTCATTTTGGTAACCAATTTGAAAAATTAAATTAAATAAAACCAAAATTTTAAAAGTGAGTCGTTTGATTCTGATAGCGAAGTCGTCGTTCCGAAGTTTTTTTTTTCTTTTTCAGAAAATTGTCATCGAAGTTGAAATGGTTCTTGAATTTTTCAATCGAACCGACAAATTTAATCAGTTGCACATCTTCTAAGATGGATAAATACACACACTTACAAAAAAATCCATATTTTTCTACCTTTAGGTGACAAGAGATCTTGAAAACAATTTTTTGAGGAAATCTTTAGAGCCTCTTTGAAACATAATAGTCCCACCATGATTTTCTTAACCCTAAAAATGTGCTTTTCTAAAAAATAAAAATAAAAATATGTTACTGTCCGCCATCATTAGACAGGAGAAAATGAAACCTTCCACCTAAGTTCAAAGTAAAAGGCAAGAAAAAACTATTAAATTTCTGTATGTATACATCCACTCGTCAAATTAGTTGCCAACCTATGCACTTTTGGAGAAAAAGTTGTGAACACATTGATGATGTTCGGTCGGCCATGATTTCATTAGTGAAAATAACTCATAAGTATGGTAAACTTACATATTAATTCTGAGTTAAATAACTCACACTTACCTTATGTTGTCTAATGATTTTAGAGAATTAGGCAAAACACTTGAGTCAAGTTCCATCATCATTCATTTATTAAAAATTGTGCATGTACTGAATTTTGATGAGAAAAAAGAATATAAAAGGGCACGGTAAAAATAATATTTAAATGAATACATGTCGTCCCTCAGTTATCGTCGAAGAATTAAGAAATAAAATGTATATCTTTATAAGAATAAACTTGATTATAAAGAAAAAAACACATGTATTGATCCATTAAATTTCTCAAAATCAGCTTGAGTTCAAAACTAGATTAAAAAAAAAAAAGATTCATACAGCAAACTTCAAATTATTCTGAATATGATTTGATTTCATTTAATTAGTGTAAAAAAAGTAAAAAAAATATTATGTATTATAATCACTATATTATGGAAAGGAAGGTGATTGATTCTCCAGTGAAAAAAACTTCAAAATTGACATGATGGCCTTATAAGGGTCCTCAAAGGTGGAGCGCTTTGCAGAAGGAAAATGGGGATTCTGCACACGCATGTAACTTTAATTTCGATAAGTCCTGAATCAATGGATGTATTATCCACTAGAATGCACATTTTATCATTGCACAAGGCAAAAGCTTTTGTATGTTGCTCGTTCCACCAAAAAGTGCACAACTTTTCAATTTTCAAACGCTCCCATATCCCTCTATCCCTCGTTTTAACCACTTTGAGTAGAATTCATATTTATAATTGTTTTGCAAGTGATAATTACTGTCTAATGTGCTTATAGATCCACATGATCTTACACGACTGATTTGGTGTTTAGAAGCCATCGCTACTTGCGATCTACCCCTAAAGAATCTGCATCCAAAATTGCTTCTATTTCACTGTTAGCTTGACTTCATGGACGAGTCATATATAGTAATCACTCTTAAGTCACATGTCTGAATGAAGGTCCTCCAAAAAGGGATTCCTTCTCTGATAATATTACTAGGAGTCTGAGTAGAACTCGTCCTTATAATCAACTTGTAATGGGAGAGTGTTTAACGTGCTTCTAATTAAACCCACAAGGCAATATAGAATTTAAAAGTAATGGTTACATCCTGGCCCATCCCCTTATTTTGTTTTTTACTTTTATACATGGAAACACTGATGACATAAAAGAAGTCTATTGTGAAATCATTGAACAAACCGCAAAACTTGAAGCAATACCATATGCCATAAAAATGATGAAGCTTTTGTGGCTTGTAGTGTATACTAAGTGTGTAATTATTTTCTTGCAGTTACTATCAATTAGTAGTATTATTGTGCTACTGATTGCTATACTAATAGGTACAAGTTACTCTTCCCTTTCTTGGGTGTCACTATTTTACAGAAGAAGCAACTTCTAGTGATTTATAGTCTCAAATTGTTTTTGAAATGATTGATGTTTATCTATG